CATCACATTTTAAATAGCTAGCCTATTTATTTATCTAATTTTTTTTTTTTGGAAAACAATAAAGAATAAAGCTAAGAACTTGAAACATAATTTATTTGGTCTTGTGCTTTTTTCAGTTGAATACAGGTTTAAAAGGATGTGCAAGTAATTGTTTGCTGACTTTATCAACATTTTCTACACTGAAACAATTCTTCTGGAATGGAGTATGTAAAATAAGATTGTGAATTCAGTGGTTTTTGGGTAAACTCTTGGAATGAGTTCGATAGATTTTGTGAAATGTGTTCTTGCTTGCTTCTCACTCTCAGCTATGCTGCTCTCTTTCAAGAGTTTCTCTCATCCTTTCACGGCATTTCACTGAGAAATGAATCTGGTAAATGGTCCTTGACGATGCTATTTTGTGTTGTAATGGTGCAAACATCGGCAAGTTCAAGCTGAAAATTGAAGGCTGATTACAGGTTGTGGGAGGACAAGTTAACTTGTGTGACCTGTGACCTTTATAGCATAATTGCTTCTGGGACTAATACGATAATATGGGCAGTTTAGTTTCCTTAGATGATATGTTTAGGAACACGCTTGCAAATATAATTTCTCTGGTCTGATGGCTGGTGTTTCTTGCTTAGGTCAGTGCTTGTTATCTTTCGGGTATAGAAATGATAGCGCGCGTGTGTGTGTGTGTGTGTGAGTGTGTTTGAGGGCAAGGGTCATCAACCGTGGTCTGTGATGTCAGTGCAGCTGCATCTACCCCCACTGAATCTGTAGTGTGAGCGTGTGTGTGTGTGTGTGTGTGTGCGCGTGTGTGTGAATCTGCAGTGTGAGTGTGGTGGCATCATTTGGAATGAGGGCCATGTAAACAGGAGTTTTTCCATGTGCACCTTATTGTGGGGCATTAATGTCATTGTGACAGCAGGGCCTCTGGAAGGTGAGGCAACTCTATATGGGATCTTCCAGGCACACTGCCTCCTGCTCTGTCCTGGGGCAATGCAATGACACATTCACACAAACACACTTACACCGAGATGCTAAACAACGAAGTCATTCAGAATTAAAATAGGACATTAGGGCTGCCAACCTTCGCTGGTGTGTATCATTATTTCACCCCTATTAATTTTGTTGTAATATATTGGGGCTCTAGTTTTGTGCCTTTGCAAATGAAAACACATGCGATGGTAATGTAATTCACAAATCTGTCACAAATGGCATATTTATTGCATTGGACTAGTTTGATAGTTTCATAGTCTGCAATAAAGGCATTTGTGTCACAGTGAGTTGAAAGGTGCATTAGGGGGAGTGTCAATGAATATAGCCTGTGCTGTGAAAGCTTTGTGCCGAAGACCTCATTTACGTCTTCACTCACTTAGACCACCCTCTCGTGCTAACACTGTTGTTCAATGGTCGTTTCCTGACTCAATTCCCAGCCGGCAGAGCTGTTCACAAATAAACGCATATCGTTTGTAGTATTCTCTTTCCCGTCTACATTTTCATTCTCATAATGTAGCCTATAGATAATACCTACAAAATGCTGGTGGGGTCGAATGGGAGGGGAGGGTGAATGGGTTACAAGATCTCAGGGAAATAGCGCTGTTTCTTCTCAAGAGAAACGTCCCTGGCAGAGCCGGTCAAACTTAGGCACTTGTTCTTCACCAGACATGATGAAATTGCCTTTTCAGTATGGTGTTAATGCACATCTTTTAAAGAGAATGGCAGTGGCTGATGTGATTGGCTTTAATGGAACCAAACCCCCACCACACCCAATTGTAATTAATTCATCTGAGACCAACCCTTTAGACAACAGTGCCACGGTTGCACTATCGCCTAGTTACTAAAAACAGTACATCAGTTTTCACCTGCAATACTGTTAGCAGTTGCATTTCCTGAATGCATTCTGGGCATCAATTTTGGGCCCAGGGTATGTGTGTATACATGTGTGAACTCCGAGGGTGACCAAGCCAAAAATTGCTTTGACAAATTAATGCTTTGACAAATCAATGGTCTGCAAGAAATAACCAAATTAAATACAATTAATTAGTAGGGGATAGTTTCCCTTTGATTTTCTTTAACTTTGAATCCTCCAGGGTAAACTTGCCAACATCTGCTTACACAAAGACAAGCAATTTTTGATGCAATTGGTTTTCATGGAACAGTTAATCTGTGAAAAAGTTTTCCAGCCAGTGTGCATTTAACATGAGATCAAAAGGTTCTCTCTTGAGTTTAAATCCAGACTCAGGGCAGAACATGACACTTTTCTCAGGCTATTTCTTGATGGTCTTTGAGCGTGGGCAGAAATATTTTCTTGCGGAAAAATAACTTCTGATTCTCAGATAAAAACTTTAAGGTGTGGGAAGCGAGTCTCTCCCTGGGTCCTGCACCCAGCAGCAGTAATCCACTTATCACAGTGACCCCACACCACGACACCTCTTCATCCCTGCTTAACTGTGGTTGAGATTCATGCTGCATTACAGCTCTCTCCACATCTTCAAAGACACCTCTCTGGAGCATCACTGTATAACTCCAATCATGATTCATCACTCCACATAGCGCTGCATCAAAACTTTCCATATTCCATGCCAAAAACCGCTTTCTGTCCTTGATGTTTTTTTTCAGACTGTGTCAGGTGTCTTTTTGACACAGAATCAGGAAGAGAAAACATTCTAGTAATTGTCCTACTTGAAAAACACTCGTAGTTTGAGGTTTTACATCTTTTGGACAGTTTTTGCAGCCTTTTGTCTCTGTCTTTCAGGTCCATAAATTTCATCCCTGCATAGAGTGGCCTTGGGCCTAACTGATCCTTTACTCCGAACACCATCACCAGCTGTGTCAAAGTGATGACCTTCTCTCTTGATTGCTGATGCAGAAATATGCATTTTCTCATGGTTATTGTTTTGTAGATTTCAAAATTGCCATCGTTATCCTAACAATGTGTAGTGATGCAATGCAGTTCTTCACAGAAACACCTGCATGACATTTTGCCCTTTCAGTTGAAGTTTCTCTCAGTCCTTGGGACCCACAGAATTGCACGTTGTAGATCTCTACCAGCTCCATCACACATGATTCCATTTATAAGCAAGTTTTAAAGCCATTGATGAGCTATATCAGGTATTGTCGATAACAGACGTGTCTTTTTGATTAAAAAAAGAAATCAAATCTTTAGATATGTGTGACCAGACCTATTAGTTTGAATTTTAAATAAAATATTGATGCCAAGTGGGCAAACTTGCAGACTTTTTTTTTTTTTTTACATAAAGACAAGCAAATTTTGTTGCTCTCAGTTTTCATTCACTGTTGAACCGTTAAAAGTTTTCTGGCTTGTGTGTATTTATATGAGAATATGAGAGCAAATACTTCGTGTGAGGTTTAAATCCAGTCTCGGCAGAATGTGAATCTGTACTCTAGTCATTTCTTGATGGTCTTTGAGTGTGGGAAGGAATATTTTCTTGTTGAAAAATACCTTCTGATCTTCTGATAACAACTTTAAGGTGCGGGAAGCAAGTCTTTCTCCCTGGGTCCTGTGCTCAGCAGCAGTAATCCACTTATCACAGTGACCCCACACCACGACACCTCTTCATCCCTGCTTAACTGTGGTTGAGATTCATGCTGCATTACAGCTCTCTCCACATCTTCAAAGACACCTCTCTAGAGGATCACTGTATAACTCAAACCGTGATACATCACTCCACACAGCTCTGCATCAAAACTTTCCATACTCCATGCCAAAAACTGCTTTCTGTCCTTGATGTTTTCTCTCAGACTGCACGAGAGGTCCTCTTGACTCAGAACCAGGAAGAGACAACATTCTTGTAATTGTTCTACTTGAAAAACATTTTTTTGAGGTTTTACATTTTTCTGATAGCTTTGCAGGCTTCTGTCTGTAAATTTCGGATGGTTGTCATCCCTACATAAAATGGCTTTGGGCTTTACTGAACCTTTGCTTAAAACACCATTAGCAGCTGTGTCGAACCAATGACCTCTTCTCTAATTAGCCGATACTGAAGTATTTTTTTTTTTCTGTTTATTACAGCCATAGTTATCTTGACAAAGACTATTGTTACAGCACAATTCCTGACAGCAACCCCAGCATGATATTTTGCTTTTCCGGAGCAGTTTTTCCAGACCTTATTTAGGACCTACAGCACAGCATATTCTGGACCACTGCCCACTCTTTCACCCATGATTCGATTTACAAGTTTTGAAGGCGCGGATGAGCTGTGTCAGGTATTGTTGATCACTAAATAAAGACTTTACTTATTGGTTAAAAAACCTTATTTTTGGACATGCACACCTAGATGTGCTATTTTGAATTTTAAATAAAACATTTTCATTATTTGCTTTGTGCACAAGGAGATTACGGAAATTAGTTTCCCTGTATCAAGATTTTAGAAAAGATGCAAACATGTCATACTTTTGCTTGCAAATGATAGCACTGGGATTCTCATGAACGTACAGTTTGTGTTTAAATGCACAATATGTCCATTATACAATCTGCAGAAGAGTACATTTATGGAAAGAGCTCTTGGGCCCATTTTTATGCCACAGAGTACGTGTGTGTTCACGTGTGTGGGCATGCATATAGTATGCGTGCTAGTGTTCATGCATACACGTGTGTGTGTGTGTCTGTCTGTCTGTATGGCAAAACCTGATGCAAGCAGAGCCCGTCTCTCCCATGGCAACTTAGTGGTTACGATGGGCCGAGGCTTAAGAGGGGAATTGTGGGTAGGATAGAGGGTGAGCTTCAGAGGTCAAACACAGACGAGCTCTACTGGGGGAGTCCTATTCATTTCAGGAGCGCACAGCTCCCCTGTCCCCACTTTAGCTTTTACACCTCTTATCGGTGACATCATTTATTCATCTGTCTTGAATGTGCAATAGGGAGATGGAGGCTGACGAAGGCGCTCGGTTATAAATGATGTACGAGAGGGAAGCGGTACGGGATATTCCTCCAATTCTCTGACCTACTGCATTGGTTTTCTTCTCATTGTTACCACTGATTTCCATATATAGCGGGGGATGCGGTGGCGCAGTGGCTATGTGCGATTGACTTGGGATCAAAAGGTCCTGAGTTCAAGTCCTTGCCACAGCTTTCGCAGGGTGTTCTTGGGAAAAAACACTTTACTCCCACAGCGTCTCACTCCACCCAGGTGTATAATTGGGTACCAGCAAAATTGTTGGAGAGACCTGACAAAGTGCGGGGGGAGTAGCCTGCAATGGACTAGCATCCTGTCCAGGGGGAGGAGCAATACTCCTAATCCCTTCATGCTACAGAAACACCTGTGATGAGCCACATGGGCTCAGAAAAGACTTTGCCTTTTTTTTTTAAATATATTATACTGCCATTGTAGTCCTGCACACACATCATTAAAGGCGGCGTCCCATTATCAGGAAGAAATATTCAAGAATTTTTGTTTTCAAATTTCAAACCATGGCTTGGAATCTATTATTTAGGTGTTAATCTGTCTAGAAATGACCATTTTCATTTATGTGTAAAATATTTGATGCCTTCTACACATTCAAAGTAGGCACACCAGCCAATTTTAGTGTATTCTCTGGCATTTAAGGCCAGAAAAACATAACAGCACTCAATAAGGCCATTTTTTTTTATTTGCTTATTTGAATATACATATAGTTAGCTTCATTTTAGAGAAATAAAATTTTGGCCCGATGTTGTGCTCTATGTGAAAAAGACTTTAATGAAAAATGGCAATGGCAGACCTGAAATGTTTCAGATAACAATTTTGGCCAGAAAGAAAATAAGAACCCCACTCATTCATAAAATACGTTGATGTGATCATGCATAACAATCATATAGGCAATATATTACTGATTTTGTGTGAGGTACCGTTCTGGAACCAAATGTGAGACCAGGAAGTTGCAGCAAAAAGTGATTTTATTGTGTGTTAGGGGTAAACCCCACAGGGCAAAAAAGCAAACGTACAGAGTCCACAATCCAAAATCACAATCCAGTAGGGCAGAATCAGAGTCGAAAACCAGGGCAGCAATAACAGTACTGTGACATCATTTATTCAACAGGTTCGGTACACAGACACAGGTTTGTCAGAGAAGCAAAAGCCAAAAATCCAGTGGGCGAATCCAAACCATTAACAGGGCAGCAAACACAAAACTCGTAGTCGGGCAAAAAGGGTTACCACTAAACAGATGCAGACAATAGTGCCAAAAATCGAAGGTCAGACGGTCCAGTCAGAAGAAAACACTATGAGTACAAGGCCTTTAAACAAGAGCAGCACAGGTAAACAAGGGAAACGTTCTGACGGGGAACTGCAGTGAGAAGACAGCTTAAATACACTCAAGGGAAGTCACATGCTATGATTAGGATCAGGTGAAGAGGATCAGACTAATTACGTGGGAGGAAACACAAGGGAGAACCTAACCACATGAAATTGGCAAAAAATGTAAACGCGGACAGGGAACACGAGACAGCCTATGACAAAACATACAGCTCCGGTTAGGGAGTTCTAATGTGCACAGATAATGAGAGGTAGGACAGAGTGGAGCAGGTGCGGAGGATCCATTGAATTGCAGCAAAGACTAAGTGAAGGCAAGAGGCGGAGACTAGAACAGGGCGAAATATTGAGAGCTTGTTAATCAATTAGTAAGTGCAGCTATACAATCCATAGTGCTTGTTAGTAAGTTAGTATTATATACAATGTTAGTCTGGGTTAGTAACTTTAACAAAAACAACAAACTGTTAGTATTGGTTAGTAAAACAGAAAAAGAGAGGCGAAGGAATTTTTTCACGAGATTGGAAGGAATGTTTGAAACCCAGAAACCATGAAATCACCTAAGCATGTGACACGCAGGACTGGGGAGACAAAGTGCAATGAAGGGCATGAACAAAGACATGGACCGGACTATAACAGAAAAGTGGAAGGGAATGGCAAAAACGAAAACATGGCAAAATACAAAAACTAAACAGAACATGGCAAAACCTAACAGACATAATCATAAACATAACAGGGAAGACAGAAACATAATAAACATGGCAGAATCATGACAGATAGAGCAGGATCATAACATTTTGAGCTGAGAATGTGAAATTATAGGTCATTATTTCAAAATTTTTGTTGCATCTTTGAATACATGTACTTGTCATTGGCAAAGAAAGTCAGTTTTATGGACTCCTATATATTACTATTGCAGTAGAATCTCTTGATATGTGATTATCTTTTACTATGGCCATTATTATGTGAAAATTATCAAGAAACTCATGCATGACAGCTGTGTGTGAGACCTATATTCCAGAAGCAACTCGTAACATTTTGCTTTCTTAATCCTCTGAGTGGTTTATTCATGAGATGAGAGTTTCTCTCATTCTTGACATGAGCAATAAATGTCTGGAAAATATATCCAATAGGAATTGACATGATAATTATCAGACCAATCACATTGTGGGACATATTCCACCAATATTAAAAAGATTAACTAACATATTGTTATGAATGAGTATTTCATGTAAAGCATTGTATATCATTTGTAAATGGAGATTTGTTACATGCTGTTTTTGCTGCCTTGCTGGTCAGCTATTTATTTTGTTCACCAGCACCCTCTGGTGGTGTGTCTGTAGCAAAACATGATCTGATGTAATATCACTTCTTTGAAATGTAAAAGACTAGTGCTTTCTAGAAGCTTCTGGCATCTTCCTGCCTGGAGGGGGCGGGATTACCCAGGAATCCTGTAGGTCTTTCCAGAATATTGCTAGTCTATATAAATGCTGTGATTTTGGTCAGTGGGAGCAGAGTTTTTGTTTTGGCAACAGAGTTACATAGTGGCATTAGGGTGTTATTATAAGATTAAACAGTGGATTATTTGTAGAAGTTTTTTTTTAATCATGAAGAATAAATTTGTTTAAGTTGTCATTGCTGGTTTTCTTTGTTATGATTTTCAAGTCATAACAATATCCCAAACCAATCAGATTCAAGTTTCAGAATTCAAAAACGAATCATCTCTGGGATATTTTTGGCCAATGAACACACGAGAGGTGGTATTTATAGCTGAGATTTGGAATGGGCTTTGTCAGTACAATATGGTGAAGTGCTACTGCTCTATTTTATGCAAGAAGAGGACCACCGCTGCAGAACAAAACAACCTATAATATGCTTAGATATCAAGTACAAACTGTTACAGTGTCCAGTTTGCCACGTAGATACCTCAAACTTTAGTATTCCTGTGTCATGGACAGGGTCGCCATTCTGGTAGGGCCCATTTCAAGTGTCAAAATTTCTAAGAAATCTGCTTGCTAACGCTTATCAAATAGTTTCTGATATATTAGAGGGTATACACTAATATCCTAAGAAGAAATCATTTGGAAAATCAGGGGGGCTGATTTTGATGCTTAATGGGACGCCTTCTTTTGCCATTTGTAAACATTTTGAATGTCTAATGCAACTTTAGTGCCGTCTCAGTTGACTGGAAAATGTTAAAGATGGTATCTTTTCCTTATTCTTGTACTCTTTCCAGTGGTTTCTTGAGAATTAAAAAAAATACCTCTGTCTTTGTTCTAAAATTCTAGTCTTGAACAGCCGTTGGCAAAAACTATGCTGAATTGCATTTCTCACCTAAAATGTGTATTCAGTTAATTAAATGTGGATGAATGTTCGAGACCGTGGATTGATGCAGCTCACACAGCCAAATTCTTTTGTGTAATTCCGAGTGGACACTGGATTGAATTTGTTTTTTAACTTTTTTTTTTTTCGAAGGACTGAAGGAGGGGAGTTGTTTTAAATTCATTACAGTTATCCATTGCTGCAATTGAATTAACCAACGGTTCCCAATCAACAAAGCTACAGAAATTCAATATTAAAGAGTAACTTATGTGTGTGTGTGTGTGTGTGTGTGTGTGTGTAGCTTGTGTGTGTGTGTGTGTGTGTGTGTGTGCACGCACGCGCGTGTGCGTTCATGCTTGTATGTAATACACCCATTGTTATGGTTCTGTGTTTTGATGTCATGCTTTGTGTTTATTGTTATCCAGCGTATTTCCCTATTGTCTTCCCTGTGTACGATACCATCTACCGATGCCACCTCTGCCTCATTCTGCACGAAGTCAATAGGGCTGTTATGGTTCTGTGTTTTGATTTCATGCTCATGTGTTCTTTGCCATGTCTTTACTTTATTCTTTTTGCTTATTATACATTCCGGTTTTCTGTTTATGCCATTTCAGGTTTCATTGCACTTGTCTCCCCTGTCTTGTGATCAGTTGATTCAGTCCGTCTTCCCAGTCTGTGTGCCTACTTTCTTCGGGTGATTTCAATGGTTTCTGGTGTTTCATATTATTACTTCAATTCTCATTTACTTCCTTTGCCTTGCTTTCCTAGATTACTAATAATACTAACATTTATATTTTGTATCATAGTCTACTAACTTAACTAATCCATGTATATATTACTAACTTACTAATGAACACTTGGGTTAATTTGTAAAGCTGCACCTACTAATTATTACTAATTCAATCTCAGCTATCACCCTGTTCTAGTCTCCACCTCTTGCTTTGCTTTCTCTGCCTCTCCCTGCGTTTCTGCGAGATCTCTCGCATGTGCTTAATTACTTTCCTGCACTCATTGTCTGTGCACTTAGAACTCCTTGACCGGAGCTGTTTATCTGTCATAGGTTGTCTGGATCCTGTCCGGTTTTGGCTTTTGCCAATTGCTGTGGTTTAGGACCTCCCCATGTGTGCTTACCTCTGTAATTAGTCCTTATCCAATTCACCTGTTCCCTGCACAGCATGTGACTTCCCCCTTGTCTATTTAAAGTCTTCACTGCAGTTCATTCTTTGTCAGAACGTTGATCAGTATTCATTTGTGCAGAGCTCCTCGTATGCCTTTTGTTTATTGTTTCTTCACAACTGTTTCATCCGACTTTGAGATTGCCTTGCCCTACTATTCCTGTTTTGTCTTTTTGGATTTTGACCTGTTTTTTGTACGACTACGATTTCTGTTCTGGATGCCCTGTGTATGACCTACCTTTCTGGATTTCGTCTACAATTTTTGGCTTGCTGTCTATGTACTGTTGCACATCTGCCTTACTGGTTTTGACCCCTGCCTGTCTAGTCGACTTCGCTTTTTGGATACT